CCGCTTTTTGAAAATATCTCAGATCCGGCTGAGCTACTGCCTCCCAGAGCTAGGCCCCGCTGCATCATTGGGGCAAAGGGACAAAACGGAATCGGGCCACAGGCGGGGTGCACGGGAGAAGCCACGGGTTTGGGGCTCCCTATCCGGGGTCGCTGCTGGCCCTCGCTGGGCCGCGGGTTACTCTGAGACACGTAGGGGGAAGGGTACGCGGAACCTCCCAATTTGCATCTCCGCTGGCCATCTCAGTAGAGAAATCCTAACAGACATGAAGGCCTAGCCACTCCGATCCCTGCAGAGCCCATCAAAACTGAAGCGGAGTCCTAGCCGGTTTTGCTCAGTGGTTAGAGCGTTGGCCTGCGGACAGAGGGGTCCGGGGCTCGATCCCCAGTGTGGGGCGTGCAGGAGGTACCGATCCATGTTTCTCTCTCTCTCTCTCTCTCTCTCTCTCTCTCTCTCTCTCTCTCTCTCTCTCTCAAAGCACTAAAAGCATATTTAACAACAACAACAAACTGACGCGAACGTCTTATCACATCGGGTCCAGGAATTATTGAAAAAGTCCGTTCTGTGGAAACTAGCACGTATCCGTAAGGACACTCACAGCATACACCGGCCACCATTCATTTTTCTCTAAGTTCAAGGTGTCGTTATGATCATACATGAAATCATCCAGTTTCAACTTGAAAAAAGAAAAACTTTCAAAAGGAAAACCACAATCAATTCTTAGCCAGCACTTCTGCAATCTGTCTACGAACCAGGAAGTCCTCCCTCACAATGACAACAAGCACCACCACCAAAGCATCGGCCAGAACCGGGAGAGAGAACTTCACCTAGGCAGTTCTGGAGCCAGTCTTAAATCCACGAAATTAAGAACCACATTCCACATTTTTTTTTTTAAGTTCCTCTTACATTGCATTCTCTTAGGATCCCAGACCTGTTTGTTCAGCGGGGGAAGTTTTATCCTACACCTAAAGTATGCAAGACACTGTGAAGAACCTGAAAAGATCAAAGAGCTTGTTTGTAATTTAGCTTATACAAGCTAAATTATATATATATATATTCTATATATTCCCCAATGGTGTTGCTCGGATGGAAGAGAGCAGCCGGGATTCCCCCCCCCCCAAACATTTTATTATGAAAAATGTTCAAAAACATGGCAGAGTTGAAATAATTTTATTGAACACTCGGATACCACGATTCTACCATTATCTCGGATATTGAACACGATTCTACCATTTCTACTATATCTGCTTTCTCACACATCCATCCATACATCTCATTTTCTGAACTTAGTAGCCCTACTTTAGGGTTGCATCTCAAAAATTTTGACTGACAGTAGATAGAGCGACGGCCTGCGGACTGAAGGGTCCCAGGTTCGACTCCGGTCAAGGGCATGTACCTTGGTTGCAGGCATATCCCGTGTGGGGTGTGCAGGAGGCAGCTGATCGATGTTTCTAACTCTCTCTCTCTCTCTCCCTTCCTCTCTGTAAAAAAATCAGTAAAATATTTTTTTAAAAAAATTTTTGGACTGAGCCCTAGCCAGTTTGGCCCTCAGGATAGAGCACCAGTTTGTAGACTGAAGGATCCCAGGTTTGATCCTCGGTCAGGACACATGCCCTGGTTACAGGCTCGATCCTCAGTGTGGGGCTTGCAAGAGGCAGCCAATCAATGATTCTCTCTCAGCATGGATGTTTCTATCTCTCTCCCTCTCCCTTTCTCTCTGAAATCAATAAAAATATATTTAAAAAAAATTTTTTTTTGATCGTTTGGGTACCAAAACGTCCGGAAAACACATACCCATGTTCAGCATTCAACTCTCCTGCCAACCTCCGATCAAAATGCAATCAGCGCTCACACAGGCCATTTTAGGTCTCCGTACCCTCGGGCACTGTCTGAGCTTTTCTTCCCAGCCCCCTTCACATCAGCCTGTGAAGCCGCCTCCAACTTTCACACCCTCTCTCCCAAGTAAGCATGCCCCCCCCCCCCCCGCCTCTCCCCCATCAAGGCCACGTTATTAAAAGCAGCTATGATTTCACCAGCCTAGACACATGCATCATCTTTTGCAATTAGCCCCCAGGATCTGCAATTCTGCTTTCAGTGTGGATCTCTTACTTAACGGACCTAATTGAGGGCAGGGGTGGTCCTCTCCCTCACCCTCCCCCCCTCTCCCCCGAATCCTTAGCAACCAGCATGGTACCCGGCCCATACAAGGATGTCCCCCCAAAATGTATACACACTTTTACAGCTGATTCTATCCCATTAGGAAATGAAATGGGTTTTAAGAAACCCTGCCTTTGTAATTATTCAAAGTGTGTGTATACATTTTTTTTTTGGGGGGGGGGGAACCCCATATAAATGAACAACCCAGACCTGCCTTTACCCGGGAACCAGGGAAGATTTAAATCGAGTGTGGGAATGACCTAATCGCGCTGGCACTTCAGAAAGATTCCTCTTAGAGAGCACGGTTGTTAAGAGGATGAGCTCCGGAGCCAGACAGCCTGGGCATGAGGCCCAGAATCCCAGCTCTGCCATTTAGTGCTGGGTGACTCCAGGCAAGTCTCTAAACTTCCTGTGCCTCAGTTTCCTGATTTGGAAAAGGAATAAGACACGTTCACTGGTTACTGTGAGGATCAAAGAAGAGATTTGTTTGGTTTTTGTTTTGTTAAAGCACACAACTTAGCACCTGGCACAGACTAAGCATTCTATCAATGATAGCCATTGTTGCCAGCAGCCCAGTTAATAATGACAAAGAGGTAAAAGGTCCTTCAATGCCCTGGCTGGTTTGGCTCAGTGGATTGAGCGTTGGTGTGCGGATTGAAGGGTCCCGGGTTCAATTCCGGTCAAGGGCACATGCCCAGGTTGTGGGCTCGATCCCCAGTCGGGGGGCATGCAGGGGACAACTAATCAATGATTCTCTTTCATCACTGATGTTTCTCTCTCTCTTTCTCTCTCTCTTCTTTCCTCTCTGAAATCAATAAAAATATATATTTTAAAAAATCCTTCAAGCGTGGGTGGGCCCTGGCCGGTGTGGCTCAGTTGGTTGAGCATTGTCCTGGGCACCAAAAGGTAACCGGATGGATTCCAAATCAGGGCACATACCTAGGTTGCGGGTTTGATTCCCAGGTCAGGAGCCTTCGATCAGGAGCATATGGGAGGTAACTGATCTCTCTCTCTCTCTCTCTCTCTCTCTCTCTCTCTCTCTTTCATGTCTCCATAAAATCAATTTTTTTAATGTATTTAAAAAAAAAAAAGCTTGAGTGGTAGCGATGAAAACAAAGTGGAAAGAACAGCCATGAATGAGGAATCTACTAAAAAGTAGGAAGGCAAGCACAATGAGCTTGTTATATATATATTTTGCCTTTGTACATTTGGCATGGCTCCCGATTCGATTTTTCATTATCAAAAGCAGCTCTGACTTCCCCAGCGTAGGCCCACATTTGCAGCCGCGAGCACAAGGGGTCTGGTATGACCCAACTCCAGCCACAGCTCCATGACCGACCACTGTAAGCTTCTCTCTGCGGGTCTTTCCGTCTCAGCTGCGTGTGTGTGTGTGCGTTTTGTTATTTTTCATGACTCCCTGCAGCACCATTTCTGTAGTTTATGATTCCCCCAATTTCCTGTCCTGTCTCCTGACTGTGAGCGCATCCCTGAGCCGCAGGCTGAATGGGTTTGAGGTTTTGTCCTGCCCGATCCCGCACTCCTTTTTCCCTCCTCCCTGCCCACCTCCTCCTTTACTTCTCAGGCCTTGCTATTCTGCACACGTAGGAACTTGAAACCTAAGAGCATGGGAAAGCAGCGGAGCAGTGGCAGTGCCAAGAACTGGGCTGCTGCCAAGCTCTTCCCTGGGCCCCATAGGCAGTGACCAAGTACAGGGGAGATTAGACTCAACTGCCCGTGGGGCCTCACCCGCCTCATATTCCGTTGGCTTCTGCTCCTTTCCTTCCTCCCTCTTAAAGCGGCCTCCTCCCAACCCAGCCACCCGTTCACAAGCCCCCCATCTTTGAAGGCCCAGGTGGGGACCCCCGTGACCATTTCAGCCCCCCCGAGACCACCCCAACACACAGATCAGGGTCTGCACGTGCAATATGTACCCTAAAGCATCATCACATGTACACCACGAAATACATATTCCATGTATGCATGTTTGGTTTTCCAAGGGGAGGACCATGTCTCGTGTTTTTTCCCATCTCTCGTGCTCGGTGAGTTAATACTTGTTGAACAGTAACTGAATCGGTGGGGTGGTTTGTTTGTGTGTGTGTGTGTGTGTGTGTGTGTGTGTGTGCGCGCGCGTGTTTGTTTTTGGCTTGTGTGTTTGGGCTACGGGAAGAGGTACCTGTTGAAATGAGAAAAAAAAAAAAAAGGTTGAATGGCCATCTGGGTGGGGGGGAGGGAGAAGCCTAGGTGCAAATGGGGGGGAAAATACCCTGTTTCCCCGAAAATAAGACAGTGTCTTATATTAATTTTTTTTTCTCCCAAAGTCGCGCTAGGTCTTATTTTCAGGGGATGTCTGATCTTTCCATGCGCTGGGTCTTATTTTCGGAGGATGTCTTATTTTCGGGGAAACACGGTAGTGTAGAAGGGGCTCGCTCAGCAGCTGTTGAACTGATTTGCTTCGAGGCTGGAAAGAGGCATGCAGAAGAGAGATGCCAAGTGGAAAGATCTGGAAAAAGGCATTTCGGCTTTAGGCGGCCAACAGCAGGGAAAGTTGGGGGATACAAAAGATCTTCCTCTACGCCCCAGGGATAGGCCAGCGGGAGAAATGGGAGGTAAAGGGAGTCACTGGGATGACCTGGGGGGAAATGGTAGGTTAAGGAGGTGAGCGAAGGGATGAGGGATGGTGTGAAGGGGTGGGTGGATGGATGAAATGATGGAGGGGGGGGGGCAGATGGGTTAGTTGGGCGGTAAATGGATGGGGGGGGCAGTTACGTGGGGGGATGGGTGGGGAGGTGTGTAGCCAGGAGGGAACAGGTGGGGGGCACATCAGGATAGGGCCCTTCCCTCACCTTGACCCGGAAACGGATGAGTGCCAGCCTCACGCAGTGGCTCAGGCAGGCCGGTGGCAGGAACCAGGCCCGTGGAGGAGGGGTGCCCTTGTTGCCCACGTGTCCCACGATCAGCTGCGCCGTCTGCCGCTCAGTCTGGCACCGACGGCCCCACTCCGCGAGCCGGTCCTTGCCCAGGCCCCCGGGGAACATGACGACCAGCTCCAGGCCCTCGCCGCCGGGGTAGGCGCAAGCCTGGCACAGCGCTGACAAGTAGCCGAGCATGGCGTTCCACTGGCCGCCGCACACCCAATCCGTCTGGTAGCCGCCGTAGAGCCGCTGCAGCGCCGAGCCCGCGTCCACCAGCACCCGCGCCCCGGGCAGCGGCGGGGGAGGGGGCGGCGGCGGCGGGGGCGGCGGGTGGAGGCCGGGGTGCCCCGGGCCGTGGTGGTGGTAGTGGTGAGCCGGGTGGTGGTGCCGGGCCGGCCCCGGGCCCCCGCAGTAGGCGCCCAGGCCGGGGGGCGGGAGCGGCGGCGGCAGAGGACCGGGTCCCCGGGCGAAGCGCGGAGCCCCGGGCGCCAGGGCCACCGGAGGCGGCAGCTGGCAATGCGCGAGCTGCTGCTGCTGGCGCGACACGGTGCGGGCGAGTTTGAGAAGGTCCACGGGGACCACGGCCCCGGGACAGCGCTTCTCCAGGAACTCCTGGAAGCCCTGGACGCCCATGCTTCGGCGGCGGCGGGCAGACGAGGCGGCGGCGGCGGCTGCGGCTGCGCGGCGAGCGGAGCGGCGAGCTGGGCGCGAAGCTGGGGGCGAGCGCGTGCGCACTCGGCGGGGGGCGAGGGGGTGGGAAGAGGATTCCCGAGGGGCGGGAGCGCGGGAGCGAGGGCGGAGTGGGAAGAGACCACTGACCGGATTTGGGGGGGGGGGAGGGATGAGGCCAAAGGGATTCGGGAAAGATCGGGAGGATAAAGGCAACGCCGGGCTCCGGGCACTCCTAGCTTTGTTTGTTTGTTTTTTTCCTCTCCTACGGCTCCTCACCGCTTCAAAAGTGGTGGGGCCTCTTCCTTCCACTTCCGGAAGCCATGTTGCCTAGTGTCGATGGTACACACTTTCTAGCTGAGGAGTGGGGGCGGGGCGGGGCCCAGAGGCATCCTGGGAGTTGTAGTTTTTTCCATGGCCTCGGTCTACGCAGCCGAGGAACGAGATTCCCTCCCCGTCAGCCCCCGGGTCTCGCAGGATCGCCAGTGGCGGGGCGTGATGTGATGATATAGGTTTAGGATTTGCACCTCCGTTCCTAGCACCCAGCGAGTTGCTTCGTGGTATTTAACTGCCTTTTCCAGGAAAGAGGGAGAAGGAGCGATGCATCATGGGGAAAGGAAGCGGACTGGATTAATTGGATTAAGTTCAAGTCTGCTAAAATTCTCTGGAAGGTGGAAATGTTCATTTCAGGGGGTGAAAAATAATACGTGTAGCTCTTTTGTTGTTGGTAATCCTCACCCGAGGATATTTTTTTTTCTATTGATTTCCTAGAGAGAGTGGGAGGGAGGGAAGCGAGAGAGAAAAGCATCGATGTGAGAGAGAGACATCCATTGGTTGCATCTACACCGAGGGCGAGATTGAACCTGCAATCCTGGTGAACCCCGGACCCTTCAGGACGCGGGTGGACACGCCACTGAGCCGCACCGGCCAGGGCTAATATGTGTCGCTTTTAATGCGTGAGAAGGAAGGATGCTGTGGAACATAAAACATAATAACCACCACAATTTCTGCCTCAATTTTACTTTTAGCAACTGCAATTTTTTTGAAGCGTTATTGGCCCCAGTGAATGAATAGTGAAACTTACTTTTTTTTTTTTTTTTCCCCCCCAAGGCAATGCAGAGAAAAGGTGAAATCGACCATCCATTGTCCTCAGGATCTCTTCAGGCAGGGAGATAAACACCATCACAAATGAAACTACAAGTTGTACTTTTCTGGTATTCACTGAGTTGTAGTGTCTTATAGTTAGGACCTGTGTTTTTACACCTCATTGTAAATCAATCTGTCAGGGAAGTCTGGTAAAATTACTACAAGGACTCCAATTCTAAATGAGAGATAGAGATAGAGATAGAGATAGAGATAGAGATAGAGATAGAGTCAATCCTCACCCGAGGATACTTTTTTCCATTGATTTTTTTCTCTCTCTCTTCTCTCTAAGCATGTCCTCAGATGATTAAAAAAAGAGAAGTTGAGATAATAGATCAACGGAAGGACTTTTATACATGCACATAAGTACAACCAATGGACATAAAACTCTGGGGAGGGAGGGGATGTGTGGGAGGGAAGGAGGGGGGCAAAAAAAAATCAAAAAAATATATTTAAAAAAAAAGACTGAAGAAAGGACCTCTCTTCCAATATTTCGAATACTTAATAGCTAATTTCATAGCATCACATGTACCATTTTAAGGAAGTGATGATTTAGTGGGAAATTAGTGCTTTGCATTTGTATACTGTAAATATAAATGACGATTTGTTTGAAATGTGTAACTTTGATATGCAAAAGATAATAACTCACAATGTTAATATTAAATATTCCTTCAAAATAAAAAAAATTTTAAATTAAAAAAAAAAGAAATTTAAAAAAAGAGAAGTTGGCATTCTATGTTGTTTGGCAATAAAGCAGATGCTTATTGTCCTTGGGACTCGTAACACAGCAGTCCTCCTGCCTGTATTAAGAGATATGCAGCCCTAACTGGTTTGGCTCAGTGGATAGAGCATTGGCCTGCAGACTGAAGGGTCCCGGTTCGATTCTTGGTTGCAGGCACATCCCCTGTAGGGAGTGTGCAGGAAGCAGCTGATTGATGTTTCTCTCTCATCGATGTGTCTGACTGACTACCCCTCTCCCTTCCTCTCTGGAAAAAAAAATCAATAAAATATATTTTAATAAAAGAGAGATATGCAGTTGCTGAGGGTCAGGTAATAGTGGGTTTCGCTGACTTACAGTAGAACTCACACTTCAAATGTCTCACTGATTAGGAAACTGGCCCAGGCGATCGGAATGAGGTGATCTGTATAAAGGCCCATAGTACTCCTTGTTCTCCAGTCCCCCTGATGTGATGATATCTCTCTGTAAATACAGTCAGCTGGAATGTAAGGAGGCTAGACTAAATGTAATAGTCTCAGAGGTCAGAGAAGAGAAGCTTCACAGTCCTGAACTCAGCCCATGATTTCCTACCCAAGCTCGGAACTGCAAATGTGGAACAGAAAGCCAGGGAGAATGACCCAACTCCTTAGGCAAAGTGCTAAGAAACATAGTTTGCACCTGACCAGTTTGGCTCAGTGGATAGAGCAACGGCCTGCAGACTCAAGGTCTCAGGTTCGATTTTGATCAAGGGCATGCACCTTGGTTGTGGGCACATCCCCAGTAGGGGGTGTGCAGGAGGCAGCTGATCGATGTTTCTCTCTCTCACCGATGTTTCTAACTATCCCTCTCCCTCCTCGCTGTAAAAATTCAATAACAAATATATATATTTTAAAACAAATAGAATTTGCAACAGGATGAGCCAGGTTATTCTCTTTAACAGATCTGAAGAGGCAACAGAGCAGAACTTGACAAGATTGTTGGCACTATTCGCATTCTGGAATCCCCTCCAATGAAATATACAGGCAGTGAAATGAAATATACAGGCAGGCAAAGTGTCAGGGAAGTTGTATCCCTAGGAAATCGTATCTCTACCCTCCCTAGGTGAACAGGGACCGTGAATCAGAGCAGTGATTCTGCCTCTACCAGCGAATCAGCGTCACCTCCAGACTGCTGGAAATGTACATGGTCAGGCCTCCCTCCAGAACTCCAGAAATCATTCAGCCACTACTGGGGAGGGGAAAAGCTGAGCCCCTTTCCCATTGGAGCAGGGGGGGGGCATTAGAAGGAGGGAGAGGCCAAAACCGGTTTGGCTCAGTGGATAGAGCGTTGGTCTGCGGACTGAAAGGTCCCAGGTTAGATTCCGGTCAAGGGCATGTACCTTGGTTGCCGGCACATCCCTGGTGGGGAGTGTGCAGGAGGCAGCAGGTCGATATTTCTCTCTCATCCATGTTTCTAGCTTTCTATCCCTCTCCCTTCCTCTCTGTAAAAAAAAAAAAAATCAATAAAATACATTTAAAAAAATAAAATTAAATTAATAAGAAACATATCCTTGGATGAGTATTAAAAAAAAAAAAAAAAAAAGGAGGGAGAGGAGCAGGGGCTCAGTGGTATCAGGGAAGTGAAAAACTGCACCGGGTTGCCCTGGCTGGTTTGGCTCAGTGGATAGAGCTTTGGCCTGGGGACTGGAGAGTCCCAGGTTCGATTCCAATCGGGGGCACATGCCCGGGTTACTGGCTGGATCCCCATTGTGGCATGCAGGAGGCAGCTGATCCGTGATTCTCTCTCATCATTGATGTGTCTCTCTCTCTCTCTCTCTCTCTCTCTCTCTCTCTCTCTCTCTCTCTCTCTCTCTCTCTCTCCCCCTTTCTGCCCCTTCCTCTCTGAAATCAATCAAATTATATATATATATATATTTAAAAACTGTTTTGCCCGGTAGATTCTGGAACCCACAGACCACCAGGGAGCCAACAGAGTCCGATGCAAAGGCAGAAAGTCTTTATTCTAGCCCGGGCTAGGGTCCGAGCCGGGGCACCGGCGCAGTGGCCCTCACCCGTTCCAAACTCGGACCCCGCCCTAAGTTTCCTTCTCAGTTTTATACTCTAGCCCAGCTATGCAAGCAAGCACCCTTTCCTCCCCACTCCCCACTCCCTTGCATAAGTCCTCTTTCGCCGTTGGGGCATCTCCGGGGTGGTGGGGTGGTCATCTCCCGTAATCACAGGTTAGGCTGGTCTGTTCCCGGGGTGCATGCCACAGCGGTCAGGTGGTCGTCATGAGATGAGTATCATGAGATGAGCACCTGAGGGATAAAACCTCCCAGGGGCCTAGCCTTGCTTTAATGTTGGCCATAAAATATTGTATTCTGACTTTACTCCACCTTATATTTATTGTTGTATTCCGGTTTTACTCAAACTTACAAAACTACAACGGGCCCAAACCGGTTTGGCTCAGTGGACAGAGCGTCGGCCTGGGGACTGAAAGGTCCCGGGTTTGATTCCCGTCAAGGGCATGTACCTTGGTTGCGTGCACATCCCCGGTAGGGGGTGTGCAGGAGGCAGCTGATGGATGATTCTCTCTCATCGATGTTTTTAACTCTCTATCCCTCTCTGTAAAAAATCAATAAAATATATATATATATATATATATATATATATATATATATATATATTTTAAAAAGAGTTACACTGAGTTTGTCACTGACTTAGAGGGGGAAGGGGCATGTCCATGTGATGCCGTTGCTTCTGATACAGTAGTTGCATGTGACTTGCAGTTGTCCAAGGATTATGTCAGGTGTGGGCATTTTGAAGTTGTAGACAAGGGGGAAATGGCATGTGTGTTTTGGGCTGTAAAGAGGAGGACTATGGGTAAACATCTATTGCTTTGTCTCCCCAGATCCTCTTTTCTACCTTATCCTTATGGTTGCAGCAGGAGCCAACTTTTTTAAAAATATATTTTTAGCCGAAACTGGTTTGGCTTAGTGGATAGAGCATTGGCCTGCAGACGACTGAAAGGTCCCAGGTTTGATTCCGGTCAAGGGCATGTACGTTGGTTGCGAGCACATCCCCAGTAGAGGGTGTGCAAGAGGCAGCTAGTCGATGTTTCTCTC